CAGCTCTTAACAGTAAGCCAGACTTTAAGGAGATCTGGTCCCCCCCCCCCCCGGTACTGGGGATCGAACTTGGGCCCTTTCGCTTGCAAGGTAGGCGGCGGCATCACTGAGCCAAATCCCCGGCCCAAGGAGACCTGCAAAAGTGTAAATCAAGGTCATGCTTTCCAAAACAATGCTATTTATAGTAACTTGTCATTTTTTTTTTTTGTACCAGGTATTGAACTCAGGACCTTGCGCTTGCGAGGCAGGTGGTGGCACCACTGAGCTAAATCCCTGGCCCATGAACTGTTATTTTTAAATGAGTTAAATAAATATTTAAACTCAGTTTTGGCCTGGGGATTTAGCTCAGTGGTGCCGCGCCTGCCCTGCAAGCGCAAGGTCCTGAGTTCGATCCCTGGTACCAAAATAAAGACAAGAATAACCAAGAGGGTTTTGAAGAATGCAATGGGGAATTTCACTCCACTAGGTATCAAAGACTAAGACAATATGAAATCATTGGAGGGACAGAAAAACAAACCAGGAACAGGGGGTCAGCAAAAGACACGCATCTGGGAAGCTTGGGGTAGGACAGAGACTGCAAGAACAGCTGACCTAGCTGGGCAAGGTGGCGCAGACTGTCCCCAGCAGCTGGGGCGGAGGAAGCAGGCTTGCTGTAAGTTCAAGGCCAGCCTGGGCTAGATGGAGATGTGGCTCCTTTCCTCAGCAAACGAGGGGAGGTCCTGCCCTCACCCTGGGTTCCGGCTGTTAGAATTTATCAAACTACATAACGATTGTACGTGTACTTTTCCCTCTCTTCTGCACTACTGGGGGCTGAACCCAGGGCCTCGCACTAGCTCACAAGGGAAGCTGTACCCCGCTTCCCTTTTTATTTGTTTGTCTCTATTTTCTTTCTCTTTTGAGGCAGGGTCTTGCTATGTAGCCCAGGCTGGCCTCAAACTCACAGTGATCCTCCTGCCTCTGCCTCCTGAGTGCTGGAATTATAGCCATGGGCCACTACGCCTGGCTCCCTATTTATTTTTTTATTTTTAGTTTTTTTGTACCGGGGATTGAACTTGCGACCCTGCCCTTGCAAGGCAGGCGCAGCGCCACTGAGCTAAATCCCCACCCTCCCTTTTAATTTTTTATTTAAATTTTTTGGTACTGGAGATCAAACTTGGGAACTTGAGCTTGCGAGGCAGGTGGAGGAACCACTGAGCTAAATCCCTAGCCTTGCTCCCTTTTTAACTTTAAAATTTAATTTAAAGATTTTTAAAAATTGTTTTATTTTGGGACTTGTCTATCTTGCTTTGTTTTTGAGACAGGATCTCACTATGCAGTTCAGGCTGGCCTTGAACTTGCGGCAATTCTGCCTCAGTCTCCCAAGTGCCGGCAGTACAGGCATGTGCCACCACACCGGGCTCAATCAATTAATTTCTGCAGTACCAGAGATTGAACCCAAGGAGTGCTGAGCTACATTCCCCAGACTTTTTATTTTATTTTGAGACAAGGTCTCAATAAATTGCCCACGCCAGCCTTGAACCTGACTCAACCTGCCTCAGCCTCCTGGGGGGTTGGAATTACAGACATTTGCCACCTGGCATATTTGTGCCTTTCTGTAGTTAAATTATTCTTTCACTAAATATTTCAAAAGGAGCAAATTAAAGGTCAGGGATTTAGCTCAGTGGTTCTGCCACCTGCCTCCCAACTGCAAGATCCCAAGTCGATCCCCAAGTACAAAAAAAAAAAAAAATGATATGAACACCATCGTACCACTTCTACAAGGTCTAGAAACAATGCGAAACAATACTACAGATGTTTACAGACATACAAAAGCTAATAAAGAAACCAGAAAGCCGGGCTTGGTGGTGCATACTTGTAATCTCCTCACTAAGGAGGCTGAGGCAGGAGGATTGCTGCAAGTTCAAGGCCAGCTTGAGCTACCAACCTCAGGCTAGTAGTTACCTCTAGTGAAGGAATGAGAGGGATATGACTGAGGAGAGCATGTGATTACAGCTCTACCTATAATGTCTTATGTGCAGACATCATATATGCATAGGGAAATATACAGGGCACTAACATCATTACTGATGGTAGGGTAGGAAAAGGTGGCCGGGAGGCAGAAACAGAAGAATCCCTCTTGTATTCCTTCTTTTAAAGCTTAGGCCACTTCCCATACTTTCTGAGTACCCTTTTGTTTACTTTGTGTAACTTTTGCACTCTGAGACATGTAGGTATATATAACGTGTTTAGTGTACAGTTAAGTTTTGAAAAGCCAGTGAGACACCACATGGCAACATGGATACAAGAGAATGCTCTACTTTTATCTGTACTTTTTGTACACTTGGAATGACTGATAAAAGATTTTCTCAAGTGCACAACCATGGGCCATGACCCCAGTGCCTGACTCAATTCGTGGCCCTGCTGGGGACCAAGAATCTCTGTTTCCAGGCTCCCTGGGTGCTTCTGCCACGGGAACCCACGGACCATGCCTGAGATACACCCTACCAGGCTGGCTGTGACCCCAGGTCTGCCTCCCAGCCCTTGAGCCTCTCAGACATCACGTCCGCCCGCTCTGCACTGTGGGGAACACCTCCAAGCCAGTGACCGTCTCTCAGGGAGCGGAGCGGAGAACACCCCAGGCTTGCCTGCCTTGGGGGTCGGGACTCCGGAGCCCAGGCAGCCCCACTGCCCTGCCCTGGCCCACCTGCTCCCGGGCAGCACTGAACATGGGCTCCTGGATGTCCGTGTACATGCGCCGGAGGGCATTGTACCCCCCGGGAATGCTCTCCAGATTGCTCAGGGCCCGGTCCTGGTTCCGCATCATCTCTTGCATCATGGCTGGATTCCGAGCAAGCTCCATTGTCTGGGGAAGACAGAGAGGGGATGGAGCCCAGCCAGGGAGCACCGGCCCAGGGAAAGGGTGTGCAGTGCAGGGGTGTTGTGCCTCAGTGTCCTGCTTCCTGCACTCTGTGGGGTCCCGCCCTTCCCTGCTTTGGGATTCTGGCTGGCTTTTTCTAGCAGAAAACAATGAGCTCCTGGGTGGGCTGAGAGAGCAGCTCCCCTTTCTCAGGCCGGGGCACAGAAACCGCAGGAAGGGAAGACAGGGGAGGCGGCAGTGAGAAAATGAACGTCTCCTGAGCACCTACTACCTACGGGCCCTGGGTTAAGCAATCCACGGAATTCACGTGAAGGAATCCCACAGCCTTCACGCAGGCCGGTATTTTGGCTCCCATTCTGCAGATGAGAAAATGGGCACAGAGACAGCCACAGACTCGCCGCTCCAAGACACACAGCCAGTCAGCGGCAGAGGCAGGTCGGCCTCAGTGACCGAGACCACCGTGCACATAGCAGGATGGGCAGGGAAGAGTTCAGCTACAGCAAAGCTGAAGACACCCTCTCCTCCCAGCCCCAGGGCTGTGCCTGACTCAATCTCTTTTCTTCTTCAGTACTGAGGATCGAACCCAGGGCCTGGTCCATGCCAGGCAGGTGCTTTACAACTGAGCTGTATCCCAGCCCGACTACACCCTGACCAACACCAACACTGAACATCCAGACTTTCTTCTTTGAGCCCAGGGCTCACTCCCAATCAGGGGTACAGAGAGTTCATGGTAGGGAAAGTGAACACAGCTACTTCTTGTTCATCCCTGACTTGGAATGCCTTCGCTCTCCTTTCTTCCTAATCTGCTCCACCCCTGCCTCTCCGAAGATTCCCCTCTATCCTTATCCTCCAGGCCTCACAGACCTCTGATCTACTGTCCTACAACTCATTATTTACCGAGTGACTACAGTTCTAGTCAGGGAATAAAATACTTAAAAGCCTTTGCCCTTCTGGAACGTTTGGACGTTATCTTCTGGGGCACTCAGCCACATGTCCACAGCTCTGCCAGGAAGACCATCTGTCCTTGTCCCCCGGTGGGCTGAGCTGGAGACGGGGCTCCTAAACATCACAGCTGAAGTGACCTCTGCAGGGTCCCCTTCCCCACCCGGCCTGCCCAGCCACAATGCTCCTCACCGGCCCACTGCCTCTCACTCCCGAGCCTTTGCCCTTACTGTCCCTTGGCCCTGGATGCTGTTCCTCACCCTGGTTCCCCCACTCTCCTCTCTGGGTATCAATCCGGCGATCTAGCCCTAGGCCGCAGTTGGAACACTTCCCGGCCGATTCTCCTCGGCACCAACCACACAGACTACAACTGCCCCTCTACTCATCGCCCTACCCTCGAAGACCCGTGCATCCTGGAAAGCTACACCCAAGTCTCTCCACCCCTGAACCTCAGGTGTCCAGAGTACGGCTGCCAACGATGGCTGAGTGAACAAATCAGTGCAGGAGGAGACAGGAGAGGTCGGGTGGGCCAGGCAGGGCTGGGCGCCAGTGCCCCACGCCTCCGCACCCACCTGCCTCATGAGCTCTGGGTTGTTGAGCATGTGGCTGATCTCAGGATTCCGCTCCATCAGCTGCTGCATCTGGGGGTTGGCCATGATCATGTGACGCATGAGGTCAGGGTTAGACATCATATCCTGGACCAAGGGGTTCTCCATGATCTGTGACAGCATCTCAGGGTTGGACATCAGCTGCCTCTGCATCTGCTGCTGCAGCTCCATGAAGTTGGCAGAGCCAAGGCCCAGGCTGCCCAGCCCCAGGATACCCCCAAAGCCAGCTGTGGAGAGGGCACAGGGTCACAGTCCACTCCAGGCCCCTCCCCACGCAGCACAGCCAGTGAATTCAGGCCTCCAGGATGGGCCCTAACTTAACGCCTCCTCATAATTCTCCTCTTCTCCCAGCCCCAATCTGCTCTGGCCAAGGATCGGATGGCAGAGGATGGGTGTCAGCAGAGGAGGTGAGCAGCGGCAGCCTGCTGGGTGAGGAAACAGGTACTCTCCATGGCTTACTGTTTGGGGCCAGCCGCTCCTGACTCACAGGCTCTTCTAATCTCCTCACCCAAGGCTCCCGCTTTCCCAGCTCCCTCTTGCCCGTCAGTGCTAACACTCAGCTATGCCCCTCCTCTGGGCAGTCCTCGGGGACTGGCTTCCTCCCAGCCCAGCTCCATGGATCCCCCGCAGACCAGGAACGGGGACCGGGTTCCCCCACTCTTGGCTCTCCCGCCTCCCGCCCAACACAAGCTTGTGCTCTCCTCTCTACAGGCTTACAGAGTATAGATGCGGCAGCACTGGGGGGCCCCTCCCCAGCCCCCGGGGAAGGACCCCCCCCACTGCTCCTCCGACTTCCACTGCCAGCATCCGAAGTGGTGCTGCCAGAGGTGGAAGGCTGGGCAGGGGTGGCAGGTGAAGCAGGCGTGGTGGAGGGTGCTGAGGCGGGGTCAGGAGTGGAGGGGGAGGAGGCGGTGGCAGCAGCTGGATCTGGAGTCCTGAGGACAGAGAAAGGAGAATCCCGGTTGGAATGAGCACAGGAAGAGGAAGGGTACCCGAGCACTCTCCTGGACAGGTTGGGGTGGGGGACTCCACAAGCCAGGGAGGGGAGGAAGTCTTTACTGCCATCTGCCTTCCGGGCATTGTGGGAGAGGTGACTTGGTTCCCTTCCCCTGAGGACCACCTGCCTGGGCCTGGGCAGCAGCCCTCTAAGGACAACTGAGCAACGGGTAAGAAAGCTCCAGAGGGGACTCCCAGTTCGAGGCTCAGTCTGCTGCTTGTCTCTGGACTTACTTCTGAGGGGTTTTGATAACCAGATGGACAGTGAGCCCGTCCTTGATCCCATGCTGGTTCAGTGTGTCTCCATCCTTGAGGATCTTGCCTGCGAAGATCAGGACCAGCTGATCCTGCTGAGCCTTAAACCTCCGGGAGATTTCCTCTTTGAACTGTGATGAAGAGGCAGAGACCACTGTGGAGGCTGGGGGACCCTGCCTTTTTCGAGAGCCTCTGTATTCCCTTGCTCCTCAGCGCACCGGAAGTCCTTTCTGCACTATCAGCTGCCTCCCTCCAGCTGCAGTCCCTCCATCCCTCCTGTGAGGGGCTGTCTGGGCAGCCCACTCCATCCCAACCCCTTCAGCTGCTGTGGACCCAGGCTCTGCCTGCCTTCAGCCCGCTCTTCGACCCGAGTTTCTTCCTCTTTTGGTCTCCAGCTTTGTCACAATAAATACACCCCAGTTATTGAACATTAACTAGTCACACATTGGCGGTCTAGTATATTATGAGTTCATTATCTGCATTTTAACATGAGGAAACAGATGAGGATCAGAGAGGTTAGGCAGCTTGTCCTGACACTGGAAATCAGGTCCTCTGCTCTCAATTAGACACACCTCTCAATTAGAGCTGTTTTCAAATTCAGCCTTGCACAGACTGCTCTTTGCATTCTAGAATTTAGTGATTTTATACGGGGTGTTGGGACAGTGATAAGACCAAGGGCTAGCCTTGCAAATTCTCCAAATTCTTTTTTTATTTTGTTTTTTGAAACAAGGTCTGGCTATGTAGTTCAGGCTAGCCTGAACGCACAGTGATCCTCCTGCCTCAGCCTCCCGCGTGCTGAGATGACAGCCATAGGCCACTACACCTTGCTATCTCTCCAAATTCTATCAGCTTCTCCAAAACAAAACAAAACAAAACGCACACTCTAAGTAAAAATAGTGCACTTGCTAAGCAGAGGCGGCTCCCAGATCCCTATCTTCCAACCAGATGGCCTACCTTAAGCCCCGCCTATGTGAAATTCTGGAGCAGTCACAGGCAGTGACAGAGACAGGCAATAGGCCCCCTCATTCACTCATTCAACAAAATTTTATTGAGCACCTACTGCACTCGGTACATCCCAGAAGCGCCGAGAACCCAAGACGACCACCCCGATCTGGAAGCGCCCGGGCGGAGGACGACCCCGGACACACGGCAGGCGCCGGAGCTGCCCCTGCCCCTGCCCCGCCC